TCCCTGCCCATGGCAGGGGGTTGGAACTGGGCGATCTTTAAGGTCCCTTCCAAGTGAAGCCATTCCGTGGGTCTATGGATCCAAACACAGGCCGCAGTGCAGAGCAGCAGCCCTGCCCCGTCTCCTCACCTTGGATGCAAATTTTTGCTCTTTTTCCTTCTAGTCAGTCAAATTAGAGAAACAAATCAGGTGAAAAGCCACGAGATTTGAGGAGTTTGGTTTTTTTGTTTAGGTTTGTGGGGTTTTTTGGGGGAGGGGGAAATGTGTTGGTTTGTGGGGGTTTTGTGAGGTTTTGTCGGTTTGTTTGGGGTTTTTTTGTTGTTTTTTTTCCTTTTTTAGTTATTAAATTAGTTTTAGGCTGGATCATATGATCTGAACCAGACCACAACACAGTGCACTGCATGTTAGCACTGCCAAGATAAGGAAAGGACCCAGAACCCACAGCCAGAACCTACCATGTTCGGCAAGAGTTTATACTTAGTTTGGCCTAAACAGATTATTTAGCTACAGCCTGAAGCTTGTTTATAGCACTCACATTCTGGACATATTTACACGTATATAAAAGTCTTCACCTCAGGCTAAAATAATCTATAGTTCAATTACCTATAGAAATGCATTTGGTAAAACATTAATTCACTTCCTATTGCTTAATTAACTAGGTTATTGATATAAACTTCTTTGTCGAGGCCTACATGGGTAATCACTGGATTGCACGTTCACAGGGGTGTTGGTTAGTTACTCGATTCTTGAAAAAAACGAATTAAAAGTTTCATCTTTAATTTCATTCACTCTTTTAAAGTTTTCAGCAGGGTAACTTTGACCTCCTATGAAGTGGAACATACAATTTATTTTGCAACAAAAAGATAGAAAGGACTGGCTCAGTTTTGATTAACAAAAAACTGGGCATACTTGTATAAAAATATAAAATATGGCCAACATTGGGAAGGGAAAAAGGGTACTTAAGCCAAAAGAAAGTACCAGAAGAAAACCAAACACGCATAAATTAGATGGAAATATAATTAGGTTGAAAGCTAAATACCTAATCAGAGAAAGGAGTTCAGGAACAGCTTTCTAATTGAAGGAATAAAGGTAAAATACTCACTGAACTCAGGGATTTTATAAATATATTACTGTATAAACTTGTGTAATTTATAAAAATATATACAAAAAAAGTAGACTAGGATCTTTAAAACTTTTATTTGAATTAACTTGTTCTTGGCTGACAAAGAACCAGTGAGGAACTTGATATAATATTGAACTATATTAAAGCATACTATTTTGGGAAGGTTAGAATCTCGGGTAAAAAATATAGATAATTAAGCAAGAATTTTATAACCTGTAGAAGAGTCTGCATAATAAGCAAGAAAGCAGATATCTGCTGTCACAAATCTTGTATTTTAAGGGTAGTCAAAATAAAAAGAAACTTACAAAGAGAGATATTAATTTCTGAGAGTTGACACCACTTTGAGCACCAACAATTGATAGCTTGCAAAAAGGTACAATAGGAGGGATGTAAGAAGTAAGTTTTAATATGTTGACTTGATTCATTTAAACATGCAATGAACACAGCAAAAATATGAAACCAAGTTAACATCATGCAGTCAATACACAGTATAGAGGAGGAGGCTGGCATGAACTACTTAGGTTATATAATTATATTTAACAACAAATGAGACTTATTGTAACTCAGCTGAAGGATTTTTTTTCATTTACTACATTAACATTTGCTGATCCTCATTACATTTGATTTTTTTTGAGTTACCTAACAATTTATTCTTCTTGAAATTATAAGAATCAAGGAACAAATTTGAAGTATTAAGATGAAGTTAACGGTATTTAAACATTCTTCTGGAACAAGGCAATGAATATTTAACCGATGCAGCAAATGTGGTAAAACTATATCATTCACGTTTCTTCAAAAGCACGCAATACTCACTGGTGTTGTAAAACGCAACAGATTTCTCTAACACCAGTTGAGAGAGAAAGTATCAACAGCATAGACATCTTCTCTTTTTAAGATCAAAAGCTAATGCAGCATAAATTGCAAAAAGTTTCAAGCATCTGAAGAGCAATTCATTTTACTGAAAACTGCTTACCTGAAAGAAGAATCCGTCACAGGTTTGCATTTATTTCTATTGAATTTGTTCAGATTACGAGCAAGATTATATGGTAAAAATTGTCCTACCAGGCAATCAGTAGATGCATGCCCAGAAGTACTAATACTGCCAGATTTGGTTAGTTTCATTCATGTGCAAAAATTTCACTACGTAGTATTTTCGTGAAGAAATAGGATTTTAGCACATAAGATAGGAGATGCCTTTATTGAACCAAAACATTGCTTAAAAACCAAAGAGGTGTCTGCAGCTTTGCCAACACAATGCATCAATGGAGGCTACAGACCAGGAGGTCCCAATCTAAGTAAGGAATTCTCCTGGGTCTTTTGCCCTTCCTAATTACTTGCTCCACAGCACCCTTCTATGAGCTTAGGTGTTTCATCAGCACGTGGAGCAGTTTAAAGCATTATCACCCTGCAGCCACTAGTTTACATTCCTGTGGTGGAAGTTACTACAACCACACAAGGTGAGTATAACAGAACTGTGAAGAGTCCTCATCCACATTCAAAGGATGGAAGTGGTAGGAGATGACACCACCGACTGGGAAGCACTCCCTGTTAGCCCAGCGGTAGGCATGGCAACCTCTACATGGTTGGAGAAGACAAGGAGCTACATGTGGAAAAACCTTCATCTGCTCCTGCAACTGTTAGTGGTCCACAAGATAAGCAGAAAACAATTGCCAATTGGATTAGCAAAAGCCTTTTATCTGGAGTGTTCCAGTCAACTCTATGATAAATCTGTGCTTTATGTGAGGTAATAATTACCTTAGGCACATGTAGATTTAAAAGTCTGATAAACTCGTATTTAAGAGAATATGAAAAGAGTGAAAAGGTGATATTAAGTGTCCTAAGCGTTAAACTAATTGAAATAAATTTTTTAAGTAACAAGCTTCAGAAGCTTTTGATTTCAATTCAGGTCATACAATATCTCTTGTAAGGTATGATCAGCTGGACTTTCTTCTGCATGTATTTAGTCTCTTTTCCAATAATGGAACAATGAGAAAAAATATGTTGTATGGATTATTAGCCATAGTGTTAAGGCTAGTACATCTTTTAGTATACCTTCAGATCAAAATTCATCTTTAACACCCTCCTACATGAATGAAAGCAAGAAAAATGAAGCTATTTGTATGACTGCTTTTCAGCTGGCAACATATGAATGTTTTCTACTTGCTGCAAGAAGGCATTAAAAACCAGTAGAATCTGAGAACATTCATGAAACCTTGGTGGAACTTTTAAGTCTCATCAGCTTTCAAATGGCAAGATGTGCACTTCAGCATTACCAGGACTTTTTTTTCAAGGGCAGTATGTGCTTTGAAGGAAACATGCATGAACTAATTTAAAGATGTCTTTTTACCATATAAGCTTGTTAGGAAGCTCCAAATTAACCTTTTATCCACAAGATCCAGACTGAAAACCATGGAGAAATCCTGTCTTAAAAAAATAAGTATTTAATTTTTTGAACAGGGAACTATACTGTTGATGACTGAACTCCAGATACAGCTCAGAAGTTATGCCTGTAAATGAACAGTGCAAACCAAGCCTTCCATGCAATGATTACGTAAGCATCAGCGCTGCAAGAGTCATACATCTTACATTTGGAGAAGGATCCGTTTGTTCATATTTTGTATCTTCCTTCCCGTTTGCTTCCGACTGTTGCAGTTGGTATGATCTGCCTTCAATGAAAGTAATATAGTCTTTGTAAGAGCATAACGGGCCTGCCAGGATACCCATGAAATTACAGTTGTAACTTAAATACTCCAGTAGACTTGGCATGCGTCTGTAATTCAAAGACAAGCAACTCGTGAGATGGAATGTGTAGTTCTACAGAATTTCCACAGTAGGAAAAGTCATACTCCATGTTACCGATTACTCTAACTGCAGTAAAAACCACGTGTAGAAAAGCAATTTGTTGTGTCTTTTGTAATCACAGCTTAAAACATTCTACATATAGTATTTCTTTCCAATCTGCACCGAGCTTTTTTGGACAGATCTCCTAAACTTGGTTACTCCCTCCTTGCCCAGGAAAGGTGTTTGACTGAAGCTGTGCCTGGGAAAGGAGCAGGAGGGCTGCTTCCCTAAGTGTTTGTTCAATTGTTCACATTGGGTTTTTTCCCCCTCAATAACTGAATCAGTAAGTAAAAGTCTGTGTTAACTGGCAATAATTTCAGTTAAGGAAAATGCCTTAAGTCAAGACTCTTTTGCCCAGGATGACACACCATTTTCAAGTCTCCTGAATAAAGAAAGGAGAAAAGCTAAGTTAAATACTGAAAAATGGAATTAAAAAAGCATGTTCCTTCCCCAGCTACTTCATATGTGTACTAAAAGTTAACTAGTCTCCTGTCTGATGTAGCATTAATTTGCATAGACTACACAGAACTTAGAATGTTTTTCTTAAACAAGTGTAAAACCTACTTCTAGTGGTATTTTCCATAACATATGTATGAATAAAGCTACAAATATAAAAAGCATGGATCTGTTTTACATGAGTTTGTAACCTTCCTATCTCAAATATGAGCTGTAGCAATTCCACAGAACATTAATAAAGCACGCAAAACACCAGCTTCTCCCCACCTTCAGAACTAAACTTCTCAGAGATGTCCAAAAGCCTACCTTACAGCCAAACACCTCTGTGATGGAGTCAAATCTTCATTTTTCCGAAACATTCCTAGGGAAGAGGACAGGAGAAAGGAAAAACAAAGAAAAGCTAAATCCCCACACATTATTTAGCAGTTTCTTTGCTCAGGAGAGCAAGCCTCGTGCTCCAATGTTATTTCTTAAGCCCTCAAGTACTTTATTATGTCACACAACATTTTTGCTGGAGTTGGATCAAACAGTTCTTACTGTTGACAAAATGACAAACTCTTGTATCCTCAGTTATATCCAACAGTGCCTAGACCTGAAATCACATGGATTTCAGGAAAACATTAAGAAGGTTTGTAATAAGTGTTGACAAATACAACCCCTCTACACTGGTTAAGATTTCAAAGTCTGCAGGATTTAAGTCCCTTTACTCCCAGTCCTGGAAATTGGACAAGGCCCAAACTCCTTTCAACACTGCAGTAACCCAGTGACATTACACTAGTTACTGTACTTCTCATGCCTAACACCAATGCAGTCCAAGACAGATTTAAGCAATTCAAAAGTCGAGGCAGACCTCAAAAGCGCCTTGTGCTGCAAGCAAAGATTGTAAAAAGGGCCAGAGAAGAAGGCACACCTATAAACACTGCTCAAGTCTTTTTCATGAGCACCACCGCAAAGCCCTAATCCCTGCTAGCAGAAGTGGGCAGGGCAGGCCAAGTCCAAGTTCAGCAGCAAGGAATGAATTTACCTTCTTGCCACAGGGCAGCACTTTCAGAAATGCTGGTAGTCTACCCCTGAAAAATGGGCTTCAAAATTAGTATTCCCTTAAAAAGAAAAGTAAAAAAATGTGACCGTCAACCCTTTATATTATTATAAAATAGAGTAATTTAGGGGCACATAGCATTAGAGCATCTTTCTTCAGGCAGCTCTGGCTTATACCAGGCAGAACTTCTTGCCAAAATGACTGCTTCAGCTACTTCTGCAGCCTCTCCACTGGTTCAGACCTAACACACACATCCATTCCCTGCTATGCACATTTGCAAGTTTTCTTTACCTTCACAAGCCCTCAAACCCCCTATTTTTATGAACCTAGCTCCCTCAAGGAAATTAAGTCTATGAAATCCCACTTCAGTTATCTTCCTTCCTAGCAGCGCCTAAACCCAACAGCCAATTTCTAAACGAGTTTGATGAAAGAGTAGAAGTAATATAAATATGAAATCCCAATGTGTTTTTTGAAAATAGGTGATTCTATAGAAGATCCTCCTCCACTCTCAGAAAGGCTGCCTTGAGCCCCACACCTTGAGGCCAGTAAATCCACAGAGGGGAGCCCTGATATTTGATCCAAGCATAAGGAATGTTTTAACTGGAGCCAATTTGTTTTTAGATATCCAAATCAGTCAGGCTCAAGACAAAAAAAGGTTGAGGGGAAGTCAAACCTTATTTAATTCTATGACTCATGGAAATACTTGTTATCTAAATAGAAGATAACTGTCGTCTTCATGTGACTCCAGGAACCGTGACCTATACAAACTTATTTAAAACTGCACTTTTAGTCATCAACAAAGATGAGAATACAGAGAGGTTAGCAGCTTGCTATCTCCTCTCTTCCAATATGATCTGGAAAAATACCTTCCTCAGTCCTGATTCTCATAGTGGAAAATCACCCCCATACATACCCACGCAAGGTAAGAATCTGAAGGACAAAGCACCACCCCTAACTTCATGCAGGAACTTTCTCTTCCCCATCGTTATGTTTTTACATCTTCTCCTTGGTGCTACAGCAAGGATTTCTACGCCGATAGCTGTCCTGAATAAAAAATGTGGGAGGAGCATTTTGAAAGGTCCCTTAAGGCCATAAGATTTCAGTTCTCAGGTAATGAATCTTTGAATTTAACACAAACTTAAACAGAAATTTAATACCAAGACTCCTACAGACAGATGTAGATCACACGGTACAGCCAGAGTAGAGAAGCAGCCCGTACAGAGCCATCTGCCTCTCATTTATACATGAGGCAACGTGACCAGAGCAGGAGCCTCCTTCGCTGTTATATTCCGTATCAGTATTTTACCCTTAAGTCAGAAAGGGGAAGCAGTCACCAAGTGTGTACAAAAGAACTTGCATAAAGCCAGACGAATCACTAAAGAAAGGTGATTAGTCAAGTTAAAGACTTTGCATCATCTATGTGGTATGAAAAAATGAGGAAAAACCCCTCAAACCTGAAATAGAAAAATCTAACCACTGAAATACGATTTTATATACTTTTGGAGGAGTGAGGATGAAAGAATCAGCTTATTTAAAACAGGTTCAGGTTATATACATACATACGTGAGAAGTCACTTAAGGCTTGAATAGTCTAGTGAGCAATACCCTTGTATGTGGTACATTTGAGATGGCAAGTAAGGCCTCCATCAATTTTTCATTTCCCTATCTCACTACGATCTCCCTCCAGCCAGCAGCTTCTTTGAGGTCAGTTCAGTGGCATTCCCTGTATATTTTTTTTAAATGCCTTCTCAGTGCCTCGAAAGCCCATTTATCATGTTTGCATAGGATGCAAGAACAACAAAACCATTGATCTCTGCCTCTGTCATACTCTTGAAAGCTCTCAGGAAGCTACTGCTAACATTTTTTTAATTCATAGCAAATACATATGGAAAAGATGCTCTTACACTGATAATTATCTAACATGAGATGAATTAATATATATATTCATTCAATATTTCCCAGGCAGTCTATCTGCCCATGGGAACAGAGGCCTCATAAATCACAGCTGTTCCCTAACAACTACGTATCGGAGATGAAGAAAACCCACTTAAGCGGCATGTCACTGCTAGGGAACTCATCAAGTTTTGTAACCCTTCCCTGTGGATCATGAGAATTGTTTTCTCCTGTCTTAAAGCAGAAGACTACTGCAATGGCTGCAGCTTTTAGTTGCTACCAAATTACCCAGTGGGGATTAGAGGAAATGGGTTTTATCAAACATCTGTTAGAGAGTGAAATCATTGGTCACTCAGCAGCTATAACAGTTTTCTCATCTGTAAGGTAGGAAAGACTCCAACATTCCTTGGTAAGAGAGTTTTGTAAATCAGTGACAAAATTTATCCCCAGTGCTCTACATCATGAGGAAGTTGCAACTTTTCATTCTTCCTCAGGAGATCATATCCTAATGGTAACAAAATCAACATTTTTAGGTACACACCAATATCCTGCCATATAAGTTTTTTTAAGGCATGTTATGACTACTACCATGCTCTCACTACAATAATAAAATGTTTAAATCACAGCAACACCCCAGCTTTGCTGTTAATCTGCTTGAATATATTCACCTTTGTATTTGCACGAAATCTGACTAATCAGTAACTCATTAATAATGCTTAGACGTAAGATTATATTACATTAATAATACGTAAACATGGAGCTCATATTGCAGGCTCTGTTGTAACTACAGTAAATTTTAATTTGAGTTTCTGAAATGGATCACCATCTGAACCCAAATGCGTGCTTGTACTAATATATTTTAAGACCTGAAGAAGACAGACAGACAATAACAGTTTTAGTCGTTACTAGTACATTGGCAGCAACAAAAGCAAACAAGCACAGATGCCAGCTGAGTAAAATTGCAAATAAACTACAAAAAGGAAAAAAAAAAATCAGAAGTCTTGATATCCAGAGAGCCCTGCAAGCAAACGTAGGCTCAGAACACGCTTTGAAGACTCAGAAGGGGAGAAATACAATATAACTCCTTTAAACACTAAAGACATGTACCATAATCACCGATTTGGGTAACTGATACTGAAAAAATGACTGTACTGTCACTAACACAAGAGGGAGCACTTAAAACTAAACAAACAAACAACAATCAAACTAGTAAATAAATAAATAAAACCCAAGAGATAATAGGAGAGAGCACATTAAAAGAAACTCCTAGACATTAGAAGAAAGCACCAAGTTACCAAAATAAGTAAATACACACTTAAAACCCACCACATCATGGTAGTTTCACTGACATAATTAACAACAAATCAGAAAATAACATTCTTGGTTACAACTTCTTTTGCTGTAATACCAGCATTTATAAAGTGCAGCTGGGTTATGATGACCTATCAAAAATCGTTGAGCATTTAGTTCTGCATACATAAGCACATATTTCTGGGTCTGAAGAGTTTTCACTTGCTTGTACTTTCCCAACAGCAATCATACAGATACATTTTTTTAAAAAAAATAAAAATAAAATAATCATCATCATCTTTCAAGTTGCATATTCACTGTACTCTATCTCCTTTTAGTTCTCATAGTAAATGCACCACCTTTACCAGCTCAGCATCAATGTCTATTCTATTGCTTTTAAAAATGGAGAGTGACAGACACATAGGAGGAAATAATAATTGAGGAAAAGAAAAAAAGCAAGCAGCATTCTAGAAAAATTATGCTTAAAAATTAGCAACTAGAGAGATGAAATCGAAGGCATAAGCGATGGGAGAAGGGTACACGCAGGAACAGAGAGGTTTTTTTGTGGTCAGAAAGTATGTGAGATAAGCTCCTGTGAACCCAGAAGCAGTTGACAGAAGAGTTTTATGGCTCTAATTTCTAACCCATATCTAGCCACACATTATTATGGACAAGTGCAACACAGTGATATGAGAGAAATAATTTGGAGGAATTAGATTTGATATTCAGTAGATGGGTATTACATTTTTAAAATTACTTTTTCTTCCTTTAAAGTTTTATGCATTATTTAGATTAAATTAGAGAAAAGAAATAAGAACAGAATTAGGAGAAGCTGTGAGCATTTTTTTCCCTTTTAAATATCAAATATCAAGGCTAAGAGGAAGAACTAGAGAGCATGTGGGGGC